GAGACACGCCACGTGTCCACCCATGCCAAATGGGAAAACCGGCCAACAAGGCCCAATCCTGTCTAGAGGCCCGGTCAGCCCTAGGTTTACCCTAAACCTAGAGAGTGGCACGCTTCTCTAGACTATAAATACTTAATTAATCCTCATTAAAGGGGATGAAGAAATTAGTCTCACCTGAAGAACGGAACAGAACAGAAACGTTACGGAAGACACTAATAACCGGCTAATCTCGCTAACAAAGCAGATTACCAACATTGAACACTCTCACCTAGAGAGATCTTATTACTTTAATTTCCGTATTAATTACTCCTTAATCAGGTACTAACTTGATCGTTGGAGGCGGAGCTCTCAGGAGTCTCCGTTATTTTGCAGGTACAGGCGTCCGGTTCCAGTCTCGGAATTGTAACTCTCCCGCAGGACATCAGAAAACCCCGAAACATTCGTGGTAGGCTTGAGTTAATGAAATTGGTGCAAGTTGTAAACCGGTAAATTGGTCGTTTAAGGAATATTGGATGGTTCCACCCACTCAATTGTACTCCCGTAGGGTAATAAGGACCATGGTAAACATTTCGGCAATTTTTATTTTCATGCGAAAAAAGTAAAAAAATTCCAAAATTGAAGGCTTAATATCATACTCTTTAAGAAATTTTGAATGTTTCGGGGCCCGGTTTCGAAAAGAAATGAGATGTTAGGGGATTCATCTTGGGTTCATATAATTCCGTTTGGAACCATAAATGATTATTATATGTTGTCATAGCTGTTCGTGGTAGGCTTGAGTTAATAAAATCGGTGCAAGTTGTAAACCGCTAAATTCGCCATTTAAAGGCAAATTCGATGGTTCCACCAACCTAATTAGACTCTCGGGGGGTATTAGGGACCATGGTAATAATTTCGGCAATTTTTATATTTCGGCGAAAAATGTCCAAAAATTTCAAAATTGAAGGCTAATATCCACGCTTTTTGAGAAATTTCGATTGATTCGGGGCCTGGTGTCGAAAAGTATTGAGATTTTAGGGGATACATTTGGGGGTCATATAATGCCGTTTGGAACCATGTATGATCATTATATGTTGTCATAGATATTCGTGGTAGGCTTGAGTTAATTAAATTGGTGCAAATAAGTTGTAAACCGATAAATTGGTCGTTTAAAGGTAAATTGGATGGTTTCACTCACCCAATTGGACTCTCAGAGGGTACTAGGGACCATGGTAAACATTTCGACATTTTTTTTTGGGCAAAAAAAGTCAAAAAAAATCCAAAATTGAATGCTAATTAATCCATTCTTTTTGAGAAATTTTGTAGGTTTCAAGGCCTGGTATCGAAAATACTTGAGATTTTAGGGGATGCATCTCAGGGTCATATAATTCCGTTTGGAATCATATTTTATCATTATATGTTGTCATAAATGTTGTGGTAGGCTTGATGTAATGAAATCAGTGCAAGTATTAACCGGTAAATTGGTCGTTTAAAGGCAAATGTGATGGTTGCACCCACCCAATTAGACTCCCGGAGGGTATTAGGGACTATGATAAACATTTCAACAACTTTTATTTCCGAACGAATAAAAGTAAAAAAATTCTAAAATTAAAGACTAAGATCCAAGTTTTTTTCAGAAATTTTGGAGGTTTCGAGTCCCGGTGTCGAAAAGCTTTGAAATATTAGGGGGATACATCTCAAGGTCATATGATGCTCTTTGGAACCATATATGATCATTATATGTTGTCATATATGTTCGTGGTAGGCTTGATTTAATGAAATCGGTGCAAGTTTTTAATCGGTAAATTGGCCGTTTAAAAGGAAATTGGATGGTTACATCTACCCAATTAGACTCCCGGAGGGTATTAGGGACCATGGTAAACATTCAGACAATTTTTGTTTTCGAGCGAAAAAAAAAGTCTAAAAATTCCAAAATTAAAGACTAATATTCACGATTTTTGAGAAATTTTGGAGGTTTGAGGGCCCGGAGTCTAAAAGCCTTATAATTTTAGGAGATACACCTCGGGGTCATATAATGCCGTTTAGAACCACATATGATCATTATATGTTGTCATAAATGTTCAAGATAGGCTTGATTTAATGAAATCAGTGCAAGTTGTAAACCTGTAAATTGGCCTTTTAAAGGCAAATTGGATGATTCCACCCACCCAATTGGACTCCCGGAGGGTATTAGAGACAATAGTAAACATTTCTGCAATTTTTATTTCCAGGCGAAAAAATAATCAAAATATTCCAAAATTAAAGGCTAAGATTCATGCTATTTTAGAAATTTTGGAGATTTTTAGGCCCGGTGTCGAAAAGTCTTGAAAATTTAAGAGATTAATCTCAGGGTCATATAATGCCGTTTGGAATTTTATATAAACATTATATGTTGTCATAAATGTTCGTGGTAGGCTTGAGTTGATGAAATCGGTGCAAGTTGTAAACCGGTAAATTGGTCGTTTAAAGGCAAATTGGATGGTTCAATCCACCCAATTGGACTCTCGGAGGGTGTTTGGGACCATGGTAAACATTTTAGCCATTTTTATTTTCAGGCGAAATAAAGTTAAAAAATTCCAAAATTAAAGGCTTTTTGAGAAATTTTTGAGGTTTCGGGGCCCGGTGTCGAAAAGACTTGAGATATTAGAGGATAAATCTTGGGGTCATATAATGTCGTTTGGAACCATATATGATCATTATATGTTGTCATAAATGTTCGTGGTAAGCTTGAGTTAATGTAATCGGTGCAAGATGTAAACCGGTAAATTGGCCATTTAAAAGCAACTTAGATGACTCCACCCACTCAATTGGACTCCCATAGGTTATTAGGAACTATAGTAAACATTTCGGAAATTTTTATTTAAGGGCGAAAAAAGTAAAAAAAAAAAAAAAAAAAAAAAAAAAAAAAAAAAATCCGAAATTGAAGGCTAATATCCAAGTTTTTTGAAAATTTTTGGAGGTTTTGGAGCCCGGTTTCGAAAAGAAACGAGATGTTAGGGGATTAGTTTCGGGCTCATATAATGTCGTTTGGAACCATAAATGATCATTATATGTTGTCATATATGTTTGTGGTAGGCTTGAGTTAATAAAATCGGTGCAAGTTGTAAATCGCTAAATTCGTCATTTAAAGGCAAATTCGATAGTTCCACCCAGCTAATTAGACTCCCGGAGGGTATTAGGGACCATGGTAATAATTTCGGAAATTTTTATGTTCGGGCGAAAAAAGTCAAAAATTTTCAAAATTGAAGGGTAATATCCACACTTTTGAGAAATTTCGATTGATTCGGGGCCCTGTGTCGAAAAGTATTAAGATTTTAGGGGATAAATCTCGGGGTCATATAATGCCGTTTGGAACCATATATGATCATTATATGTTGTCATAAATGTTCGTGGTAGGCTTGAGTTTATGAAATCGGTGCAAAAATTGGTCGTTTAAAGACAAATTGGATGGTTCCACCCAACCAATTAGATTCCTAGAGGGTATTAGGGATCACGGTAAATATTTCGGCAATTTTTTTTTTCCGAGTGAAAAAGAAACAACAAATTCCAAAATTGAAGGCTAATAATATCCACGCTTTTTGAGAATTTTTGGAGATTTCGGGTAGAGCTGTCAATTCGGGTAAACAGGTCGGGTTTAGGTCGGTAAGAGTAGGTCGGGTCAAGTCGGGTCGAGTCAATTCGGATTAATTCCATAACCTATGCGGGTCGGGTTTTTGTTGGGTCATGCTTGAGTCGGGTCACGTCGTGTCATACTTCTTATCGACTTTGGGTCGAGTTTAGATCGGGTTAATAATAGGTCGCGTAACATTCGGGTCAGGTGAACAATAGGTCGGGTTTCATTCGGGTTTTCACGGGTCAAAATGGGTTAGGGTAATTCTCAGGTTCGAGTCGGGGTCAGTTCAAGTCAATAATTTGCGGGTTAGAATCAGGTCGGGTCATTCTCGAGTTTGGGTCGGGTTCGGTTCAAGTCAATAATTTGCAGGTTATAATTTGCGGGTCATAAATAGATAATTATCATTTTTATCAAGCTAATTATTTCCTTTGACTATAATATATATGGCAATATACTAGGGAATTATAGTTTATAATTTAGGAAGATAATTATCTCCTTTGACCATACAACAAATATATACTATATTTAATTTTTAAATTTGAGGATGATGCTCCGTTCTTTTGCTGTCCTGGACTGACTTGGTCTCTCGAGACAAAATGCTTTGATCAACAATAATAAGGTGGTCTAAATTGCATTTAAGGTGATTTGAAATCGGGTCACGAACAATTTGGGTTGAATTTAGGTCGGGTCAATAACAAGTCGTGTTTATTTCGATTCGGGTTAGTAACAAATTGGGTTGAATTTTTTGGTCGGTTTAGTAATAGTTCTAGTAAAATTCGGGTCGGGTCAATAACAAGTCGGGTTGAATTTGGATCAGGTTAATAACAAGTCGAGTTGATTTTGGGTCGGGTTAAATTCAGGTCTAGTTAGGAACGGGTCAGGTTGAATTCAGGACAGATTAGTAACAAGTCGGGTTAAATTCGGGTTTTGACAGGTTAAAACGGGTTTGGGTCAATTTCGGTTCAAGTCGGGTTCGGTTCAGGTCAATAATTTACGAGTTACATTCGAGTTGGGTTATCTCCAGGTCAGTTCATGTTCGGGTTCATGTCTCACATACTCGGGTCAACTCGGGTCTAAGGTTGGTTTCAGGTCGAGTCAGGTCAGGTTGGGTCACCATTTTTTCGAGTTCAGATGGTTCGGTTAATAATCGGATTTGAGTCGATATTTCGAGTCGGGTCAACTTTTGACAGCTCTAGTATCAAGTATCAAGTATCAAATGTAAAAGTTACTTGGACTCGAGAGATTAGATTTTGTAAAACCACCTTACAATGATAAAATATAAAGAGATTTTGTAAATATACTTGGACACAAGGTCCTGTATGGTTTTTTTCGCGCAAAACCCCATGGCTTATGTTCAATCAATTTTTGTTACGACAATACAAAGCATGGTATTGCAAAAACTGGAAGGTCATACGGAGTATGATATATCATCACAACTCTTCATCCTTTCAGTATCATTATAAATAGTTACATTCGGTCATTCATCACCGCAAGAGATTACATATCACATTATAGACACAGAATAGGGATGATCTCAATCATTCTCTTGCCCATTTTTATTACACCTTTTCATCATTATATGGTAAACTATGAATAACAGGATACAGAGGTATGTTACACAGTTCCACTTCCATATGTCTTCAAATTGGTGGAGCTCCACTGCACTGTAAAAGTGTTGTGTAATGGCTATAGAGGACCACCATACCATTTCCTCAGCTACCTGTTCAGGCAAGTATTTTATGATGATTCCACGGTATTACTTTACTTTTTCAATGAGCAGTCTTATGATGATGAATGTACAGAATCATTCTCGACTTTCCAGCACGCTCTTGCAGCTACGTGCTTTTGTTATTCCTGAAACCGACCAACAAAAAATTCAAAATCTACAAGAATATGAATGATAACATTTGTGTTTTATATGAAGACATTAACACTTGTTATACCAATTTATTGTATGTAGTTGCATTGTAATCCAACCATATTTAACCTGTTGGATAGATATGTCCGTTTCATTTCAAATGGAGGCAATGTATCAATTCTTAGGTTCACTGCGTTTCAAGGATCAAATTGGCAACAGGTTCTCAGTAATAGCAGGATTAAGGGCTTAAGGCAACATAGAAATAGCATCTCCAATCCCTGCCACAGGCAGAAGTATTAGGGGGTAATGTTAATGAACACTTCCATAGGGCAGGGCACGGAAGGTGCTATAAACTTGGGTTCTGCTCCTGCTTAGACGAGGGTAGAGGTTATATTTATTGTTGAAGAGAGCCTTTGATTGACTAAGGTTTATATAAAAAATCAAGCATATATTCACGCGTGAAAGATATTAGCTTGCGTAATTTTGCTTAATGCCTCATCCAGGAAGTTTTTACATATGCATCACCTTTCAAACTGACCATGCTAATATTTCTAGCTATCAGACAAGGAACCATTAGTCATAATTGGGTCTAATAAGGAAATCATCTTTTCCTCAGTTTCATACTTGTATAAGTCCTAAAGCATGACCCTTTGACACTTTCTTCTGGACAGCATAATGCCAAGACTAGTCAAAAGAGCCGCGACCATGAACACCATCTCACATTGACGATTTTGTTTCAAAGTTTTCCTTTCTTATTTCCTTTTCCTTGTTCTGTTTTTTTTTCTTTTCATGATTTTCTCTTGGGAGGGTTGGTGGAGAAAGAGATGAAAAGTGACTGACCAGTCTCATGTATAAAGCTCTATCAATCTAAGCACTAGCCTAAAAATCTGGTTATCTTGTTATATACTAAACCAAAGCTGTGGACTTGGCATTTGAACACAAAGTAACCAGCTCACAGACCTAGCACTTGCGCAGTTCAACTGTAACAAACACGACAAACACATGTCGCCGAAGTTTCTGGACTCACAATTCAGCTATTGTACTTAAAAGAAATGACTCCAAAACAATCTATCTAGAGCAGATTAAAGTGAGAAAGATACCGTGTGTCTGGTTCATGTTCCACGAAGGGCACGCACACGTTCCTGAATAAGCTTCCTCTCCCAATCTGATATATCCTCAAAAGCATGCTCCGGAAGATTCTCGAATGGCTCCTTCCAAGGGTCATTTTTAGCAAGATCATAAGTAGCTCCGCGTATTGCTTTTTTATTGGGTCCACAAGGTCGTTTTGAAGTAAGTCCATCATATGCCTCTTTAAGCTGCTCCACAAGACCACAACCATGCAACACCAACGTATAATTTAGTAAAAATCTTAGCTGGTTACTAAACTAAACAAGTCCCCCATCATCACTGTCACAAACAGAAAAGTTTGAATTCTGATCTTGTTTTTCCTTTTGAGTCATGTTATAGTTCAAACATTAAACATTTTTACTAGCTAAGGCAACAAAGTTTGAAGTTGAGGACTTACATTCATGCCACAAAACCAGAACATATAGGTGATTGCAACAGCAGGAGCTCTGCCAAGTCCAGCAGTACAATGAACATATACCCTTCCTTTCCCCTCTGAAATGGCCCACTCCAATGACGAAACAGCTCTGGGAAGCATGGTTCTCAGTGAATCTGGATCAAAATCTTTGGCCTAGTAATACATAAGAGAAAAGAGTCAAGAAGTCTAAAAGAGAGTATTTCGACTCCCTTGCCAATTCACAAGATATACAACAGAGGAGCTGAGAATAGGATATTCTTACAGGCTTTCTCATATGACAAATCCCAATCTGTTCACATTGTTTCAATATGGAATCAAAGTCAATCCCCCAATATTCAATGTCCTTGTCCTGTTGCAGGTTCAAAATGTATGCTACATTTTCATTTAACTTCAGGTGCTCAATATCTTCTGGCTTTTGAGGCTGTGAGCCCACAATTAAGTTATCAAGTATCAGAGTGTAGTTCATTCCTAAATGACCAAACATAGATATGCAATTATGTTACCATCTCTTATAAAATTCAAGTAAACAACAGCTAGAACTTTTTTTTTAGCAAGTGAGACAAGTCCATTACAAAAAATTATAGATGTACATCATAGGCCAAAGCACTAGACCAAACCATATTTATAGTCAAAAGTTATTGAATAACAAAATGCTCTTCCAAAAGCATAGATGTGGTATCATTCCCATAGACAAGTCACCAAACTCAGTGGCATATTGATATCATGGTGATTATTTCTATCAAGAACAATACAGTTGGAAACAGAATTTTTTTAGCAATGTTGATGATACATGTTTCATTTCCTAATTGCTTCTAGACAAAGTCCTTCCAAGATATACCAACGAAATGACCGTGACATATGCATCATGCATTTTACCTTAGCAGGGAAGAGATATAGTTCTTAGTCATTTTAATGATACAAAAATGCACTGATTTTCCACAAAGTTTCTCTCAGTTGGGGCGGTACTTCTAATAATTTATCTTGGGACGTGTTTTATTTGGCAGTTACTGGATGAATTCCATTGGATGGTTTACCTTTTATTTAGATCGAAAGCACATCTCAATATCACATAACGGCACATAAAGTTTCACAACCTAATGAGTCTTCCACTTATTTGAGGAGATGTTATTAAATTATCTATGGTTAACCTCATATAGACAATTGCTTTTGAACCCCCCTACCCTGTCTTTTCACCTTTAACTTGCTTTTTGTCGAAAGATTAATGAACCAATTAGTCCAATTAGTTCCATTACATCCTCGACGCTAAATGAATTTTTTATGCCAATATGATAAGCATGATCAATTAAACTAATATAATCATAAAGTAGCTTTCTTTGCCACAAAGCTCAAACATAATCAATTAAATGAAAGCATAAAAGGAAAAAGAAAGCCACGCTACATGTATCCTAACAAAATCAAATCAATGTCAATATTAACCCAAATGCCTTCAAAGAGATTGCCAACATTGATAGACGTTGGTTTCAACTGACCCTTAATCTTAAAGGCAACAAACATGCAATATGGAGTACTCCATTCATCATATATACTTCGTAAAACGAGTACAAATTACACTATCAACTGTGACTATATTTACGGAGTAACTATTAAGTGCAAACAAATCCATTAATTATCTTCATAATGTCCAATGTAATTCAAAGCTACAAAGTAATTAACTTTGGTTCCATTAGAAAGTCACACCAATACATCATAAGGCAAAAGGTTCTAAGAGGTGGCAATGAGATATTATTCTAACCCCACTTAACAATATGATCATAAGACATTAATCTATTAAATCACCCCACTAATGAAGCTGAAGAAATACAAATCAAAGATAATGCTTCTACTTTTTGCAATCCATAATTAAAAAATTCACAATAAAAACCAATGAATCTGAATTTTCATCAACTCTTTATCAAATTTAACAAGAACCCAGATCAAATTTGGGCAAATCAAATCATATCAAACCCACAATTGATAATCTTAATAATAACATGATTTATACAAAATTAAATCAAGATATAAAATTAGAAACTGACCAAGTTCATGATGATATTCATATGGGTTCTTCATCATATTCTTCATGGCAATATTATACTCTTCCATCCTACTTTTCTTGGGAATTGTGATGGAATTACTTGAGGGTTTTTCTTCATTCTCATTACCAGATAATTTGCAGCAAATCCCAGATTTTACAGTAGCAGGAAAACTGAAATTGGTGATTAATTTTTTGCTTCGGATGCCATTTTCAAGTGAAAATTTTGTGGGTAATAAAGATAAGCAAGCTTTTCCAAGAGCTTCCTCCATTCCACTCTCACTCTACTGTAGATCTTCTGGGCAGAAAAGTTTTCTTTTTTCGTTCTTTTTTTTTTGGTCACTTTATCCAAACTTTACGTGATCCGAAATTGAAAACTGGACCTGGTCAATTTGTGGTTCGGTTCAGATTGGTGAATGTGGTTCAATAGATAGCCAGCCTTAGCCTTAGAAAGGAATTGGGCTTTGTTGTGCAATGTTTTCAATTGTGCCATTGTCACCCATTTGGGGGTATTTGGTAGTATTTTACTTAGCAAGTTAGCATTATAGCTAGGGAAACATTGGGTACCCGGTATCGTGTCAAAAGTCCATTCTTTTTTCAGTATTACCTCGAAATTGATACCCAAAAAAAAATAAAATTATGCGCTTAGATGAGTTAGATCTAGAAGTAGTATTGTTGAGACTGTTTAGACTCAAGACTTACAAGATACAACTCTTACAAGTAGCAAATGGAATTGTAGTTTTAGAGTTGGGTATTTGTTCAAATCGATACAACTATTGAATAGTATTTTTTTTTTCAAGTACTAATCACATTGTTTTCTACTACTAAAGTGTACCTTTAACGTCATGTATATTTCCTTTCAAAAAATAAAAAATAAAAAATAAAAAACCTCGTATATATTTAATTCTTAAATAAGTAACCTACAAGGCTACAATACTTAATTTGAGTGACAAAAACAAGATTGCTTATTCATAATCTACATAGTCACTTTACAATATAACAAAAAGTCAATAAGACAAAACTATCTAATTAAATTTTTTATTTTGGTTGAAAAGATATCTTTTTGAACCAATATAAAGGTCTTTATTCTTCTTAAAGCTCACTTTCATTGTTTAACCACGTTACCGAAATGGGTGTGGAAAATTTGAATTTGTGACCTATCATTCACAAATCCTTGGTCATAAACTCCTAGTCATAGGCCAAGACTTCATCAATTTATTTGTTTATAGTTACTCAATACATGATGTGAGGAGTTCGAAAAAAAAAATTGACATCAAAATAAAAAAATACATTGATTTTTTGACGAACGATTAGGGAGATAATAAATTATTTTTAGTTAATGTTTAATGAAACTCAAAAATAAAAGGATGGAATTGACTAAAAGTAAGAAAAGTTTGTTTAGGTCTTGTGTTCTAGGTTTTTAGGCACCACGTGTTAGTTTAATTCATGTATATATAGAATTAAACAATTTTCAAAGAAGAGCATTCTTACCGGATTAATCCTAACATACCAAAAAGTGAGCTTCGTCCATGTCTATTACCAAACATACCCTATATTATCTTTCCATAAAGGAAGAATAGAGAATCAATCTTAGAGTGGTCAGTTCGATCGTGCAAGAAGTTTTTCAGAGGACATAGACTTGCAATAATTATTACAAGATCGAGTGACTTTTCTATTTGAATAACTCCCCCAACCTATCACCATAAATTAGTGTTATAAATGTCTTGATCCACCAAAAAATATCACAAATTAAAGTTGATAAATACCTTCCAAACAAATATAAAAAAAAGAAAGCACAAAAGCATGTAGAAACAAAAGTTAAAAATCAAAGTTCCAACTAATAAATGAAGTACTTGAAATCCCAAAGCTAGCTAGATGCAAAAGTTATGTGAAGATAATAGTTGGACATAAAATGTGGGCACCAAGTCCAAGTAATCAATAATGTTGGGACAACAAGAATTGCAAAGAATTTGTTCTCTCTTCCTCTAAAACTAAACGTGTCATCAAATTCTATTCTCTATAATTCAGATCAAGTTATTTTACAAGTAGAATATAACTGTCCTTTTCTTTTCTTTTCATTTCCTTTAATTTTTTAATAAAAAAATTTCTTTCTATTCATTCTTCCTCATCTACATCAAGAACAAAAGTATGAATCCAATGTAGTATACTCTAGCAAATAGATAGTAGATTTTTTGTACCTTTTTTAAAGTGATGACCATCTATCTAGCTGTCCCTTAATAGATAAAAGTTAGGCAATTTATTTATTTATATATGTATAACGACAATCATGTAATTTTAAGCTATAAGAAGGGGAATAAAATTCAACGTAAGAGAATAAAATTCAACGTAAGAGAATAGAGTTTGTGGCAACTGTGAGTCCTGTATATGTGACCGTCAAATTTAATGAAAGCTCCATGTATACTACTATACCACTACATATATAACTTAAAAATCATGTACATAAAGATAATTGATTTTGATAGTTATATATCATATCTATAAGATCAATATTTTAATTAATCAGTATGTGTTGTAAAACATGCATTAGTATTATCATTATCATGAACAGTGGCAGATCTTGGTCAAAACTATTAGAGGGGTTGGGATTTAAATCTTTTATCTTTCACTACAAAATAATCACTATATTATAATATTTTATATCTAAAATAAGGTTATTTAAGTTCATTAGCTAATTTATTTCAACAATTTATCGGGAGTCGAACCCCTAATGACCCCGATGGAAAGTCCCCCTCTGATCATGAACATATGAATCTAACATTAAAAATCATTAAGAACCCAAATTTAAATAAAAAATCGTATTCGAAACACATCTATCGATCTATACAAGTGGGAATCTGGCTAGGTACGGTTTTAGCTAGTGTTATAGTTATTCTTGCAGCAAAGAATCTTCATGAAATACTACGTGTCACAGTTAAGGCTCTTCAATCAAAAGGATTATTCTTTTGATCAATAATACATTTGATTGATGATAGATTAATTAGATATTAGTGAAACATTAATTAGTGTTTAGTACGATTAGCTACTAAGATAGGCTACAAGTTATCCTTACGTTATGTACCATTGTACCCAAATTCCCCAAGACAAATTAAATTAAGGGAATAATTGAAATTGAATATTGTTTGTAGGTCTTTGCATGCACATATAATTATATTTGCATGGACGATTAGTTTTATTAATAATTATTTCTTTGTTTAGTTGCCATACATGTGGTTGATTTGTACAAGTTGTTTGATTATTTGAAAAATTTTAGTGCTATTAGAGTATATTCCTATGCTATTTATTATTTCCTAGTCAATATATAGGTGCTTTGATTATGAAGAATTTAGGACAACAGTACAAGCTAGTGTTGTGATGTTTATTTCCTGCTTGATATTGCTTATTTTAATTTATTTTTTTGCAAAGAAAATTATAATAAGGGGAAATGATCTAAAAAAAGTTGACAACTATGATATAAATTTGTGGATTGCTAAACATCGCCCGCAAATCTCCACATAAAGCCCACAAACTTATATTGAAGTTACAATATTGCCCTTGACCTTAAAAAAAAAACACAACCTCAATAAAAATCAAAGTACGGGGATGTCGAGGCTCGTGGCGGCAAGGTGGTTGGCTCGTGGCGGCAAGGTAGTGGTGGCTCGTGGCGGCAAGGTGGTGGTGGCGCCAGGTCCGGCAGCCACGTCCACCGGCCTGGCGTCTGCCCAGCCACGGTGAGTGGCGTTTGGGACAGGCGCCAGTCACTCTGGTTGGGCGTCCTGCCCAGACGCCAGGCCGGTGGACGTGGCTGCCGGACCTGGCGCCACCACCAACCACGGGCCGTCCTGGCCAGGCGCCCCAGCTGCCTTAAATTTTTTTTTTTAACTTTTTTTTTTTTTTTTTTTTTTTTGGAAAATCAGAAAATTTTTCTAATTTTTTTTTTAATGTGTTTGATTTTTTTTTAATAATTATTAATTTTATGTGTTATTTTTTATAAGTCTAGTATATATATTTTTTATAAAATCAAATAAAAAACATAAATTTTCACATCCTAAATCAAAACATAAATTTAATAAACATAATTTAAAAAAATAAAAAAAGGCAAAAAAAAAAAAAAAATTAAAAAGTAAGGGCGGCGTCCAAACCAGACGCCAGTGCACTGGTGGTGGCGCCTGGCCTGGACGCCAGTGCACTGGTTGAGGCGCCTGGGCTAGACGCCAGTGCACTGGTTGTGGCGTCTGGCGTGGACGCCAGTGCACTGGTTGTGGCGCCTTGCCTGGACGTCCTTGCCATGGTTCCGGCGTCCAAACTAGGCGCCACCTCGTTTTCCGTCGAAGACGACGTATCTCCGGCGACCCTCGCCTCTCCGGCCTCCCTGGGCAACCCAGTACGACTCCACATTTGTTAGATCGAGATTTGTTCACTTTGGGTACGATTTTAGAAATGGACAAAATTGTCAAACCATATCTAATTTGAGGGCTTTATGTGGAGATTTGCGGGCGATGTTTAACAAATCCCATAAATTTTGCCTAAAAAAAAGTATGATATAAATTTATAATTGAGGCCGGAAATTATTTTAATTATGAGTATTCAATCATGTTTTCATAGAAGCAGATTCGACAATTTAACAATGGGTTTGATTTTTCAAAAGACTGCAAACGGATATCTGTTAGTCACTTTAACGTCAAAATGTATTTATTAATTATTATCTACAAAACATTAAATGACTTACTACAATCAATGGGAAGGAGTAAGATATTAATAAAAATCAAAGGATTTGATAGCTACCTATTAAGAGATCACAGATCGTAGCGTGGTCTTGGGCCTTAGCTTTCAAATTGAATGCGAAGGAGGGAACATTATTAGTTGTGGTAGGTGTGTAAGATTACTTGAATTGCATAAATTGCAAGAAATTGAAGCAGTAGAGGAGGTCCATTAATTAGTCCAGAAAGTTTGGATAGGATAAGAAACATGTGATTGCTGCATTATTATACTTACCACTTTTCATATCTTTATTTAATTTAATTATTAGATGATACCCAATCTACTAGCTACCTGTAATTTAAAACACGCATATATATATATATATATATATTATACGGAGTATTATTTAGTTGAACGATATGAACTCATGATGTATAGTCCCACCCTGCGGGCGCTGCACCCAACAGTTCAGAAACATCAGAAACCTGAAATGCAGTGCCGCGGGCGCGGCTGGATTTCATTTGAGTAAACTAATAAAATTACTAATACGGTGCGTTATCATCATCTACATTTAGGGTTTGTTCAGTTTAGCATAATTTCAGTTCAGTTTAGCTCCAATTAGTTCAATTTAGCTCAAATCAATTCAGTTCAGTTCCCCTAATTTCCTTCTCTCATTAAATATTCATTTCAGTTGAGTTCAGTTCAGCTTCAATCAGTTCAGCTCAGTTTTCAGTAAATGTGAACAAGTCCTTAATTTGTCAAAAGCTCAAAACTAAACTTAATTGACTCTAGTTAACCTAATCAATATTGAAATTAACTTATGTTTATACCTGATTAAACCTAATTAACCACGATTAAAGGTTATCAATGATGATTAGTTCTAGTTAGTTATAAACTTATTTCTA